AGCAAAAATCATGCTTAAGGGAGAGGGGGGTCAGCAAAAATCATGCTTAAGGGAGAGGGGGGTCAGCAAAAATCACGCTTAAGGGAGAGGGGGGGCAGCAAAAATCATGCTAAAGGGAGAGGGGGGGGCAGCAAAAATCAAGTATAGCATATTTAACATTGCTACTTGTGTCTTTTGTAATTAAATTCGCTTTGGAATGATTGAAAAACAACAATTGGCTAGCTCGTACACGATGAGGGCTAGAGGTGTAATATTTTTAGAGTGAAGGCATTTAATCTATGAAATAAAAAATACTAGTCAACGTGTAATATTCAAATAGACACGAAAGAAAACAATGGAATTAGGGTCTACTAAAGTGTATTAGTCTAATATCTATTGCACGGGTTTAATGACTTCACTCTAGTCAAATAGACACGAAAGAAAACAATTGAATCAGGGTCTACTAGTGTGTATTAGTCTAATACATATTTCACGGGGTTTAATGACTTCACTCTAATAGCCTAGGTCAAATAAATAAACACAAATAATAATGAAATTAGGTTATAATATATTCGATTCATTGGTTTTCAAAACCGCTTCGTTTCGCTATTAGCGGTCTATCACTAATAGTCCACTAGTGATTCGGCCAATCAAAGCGGAAGGATTTGTTATAGACTACAGTAAAACCCCGCGCATAAGAGCCTAGATTTTTCCAAGTCAGCCTGAACAGGTTCTTATATAAATGGTGCTTAACTTGAAATCAGGCAATCAAGGTTCTTAAATGGGTTCTTAATTTTTGGTAATAAAAAGAGTAATTGTATTGGTGGGCGTGGCATTTTATACATTAAATGATTCACACATTTTCATGCTAGCTGTACTAAATAAAAACTGATAGGTAGTGGTAGTAACTATTTCGATCTTAGTGCAGTTTTCGTATGACTGTGAAAAGCTCACGGCACGAACACGGTCGTGACACAGCAAGGGATACACCAGACAAATCACATTGCACGAGAATTTACTCTCCATCCAATCAAATACCCGGAACACGACATAAACACGGCGCGGACACGGTCACGCCAAGATCACGGCACTTTTAGACCAATCATATTGCGCGTGAAAAAAATCAGCCAATTAAAATTCTAGAAAGCATCACGGTCACGGCACCTCACGCTTACGGCACTGRGCTTTTCACAGTCATACGAAAACTGTACTATTTCATGGACACAGTGTAAGCACTCTAACATACAGAGTACCTTATTTTATTATTTACAAGAAAATAAAACAGATTGACTTTGTATTTGAAAATTAAGAACCTACTTTGAGATTTCAGCCTGAAATGGTTCTTATGTGAAGGGTGCTTAAAATGAAAATTACAGCCTGATAGGTTCTTAAATTTTAGGTTCTTACACGCGGGGTTTTACTGTATTTGTAGGTTCAGTTTCTAATAATCTTATTATCTTTTATGCATACGAAGGTGTTCTCTAAGCCCACCACTGTACAAAAACGCTTTGTCACACTGCAAGCATTTAAATGGTTTTTCTCCGGAATGAGTTACCAAATGCATCTTGAGTAACACCTCCTTGACATACTGGTTCTCACAATTTGGACACTTAAAAGGTTTTTCCCCGGTGTGCTGCGCTAAATGAACTTTTAAAACGTTCTTGAATCCAAACGATTTTTCACAGAAATCGCATTTGTAGGGTCTGGCTCCAGTATGGGTTCTAAGGTGCTCGTCAAGGTTCCATTTTTTCACGAAAGCCTTTCCACAGCGATCACACTTGAAAGGTTTCTCCCCCGTATGTCTGCGCACGTGAACATTCAAGTCTCCTTTTCCTGCAAAGGCTTTATCACAGTTCTCAAAAGTACACTTAAATGGCTTTTCTTTGGTATGTGTCCTTAAATGGCGGTCATGACTTGCACGGCTGGTGCTCAACTTTCCACAATACATGCACTTAAAGGGACCCTGAGATATCCTCTTTTTCGCATGGGTTCTGAGATGCGATTTGAACTCACTTGGCTTACAAACTTTGTCACAGTACAAACACTCCTTATATTCTACTTCAGACGGTGCTTGCTCCGACGAATTTGTTTTTTTGTGAGCTTTTCGATGGTTTATGAGTCGTTTTTCGTTTTGGAACACTTTGCAACAAATTTCGCACTTCAATTCTTCATGCCTGGCTAAGTGTTTCGCAAATTGCTGGACATATTTAAGTTCTTTGTTACATGTATCACATTTAAATGATTTTTGCTTCGGGTGAGTTAAGATGTGTGTTTCCAACTCATATCGGCTGTGAACATTCTTCGAGCAAAGGAAACAGGTCATTTCTTCTTCAAAGTGCTTCTTGTTGTGATTTTCCAGAGTTTTTTCATTTTTGAATATCTTTACGCAGTGCTTGCATTGTAAAGGCTTTGGTCTTACGTGTGCTTTAACGTGCGTTTCGTAGTATTCTTTATTTGTAAAGGTTTTTTCACAGTACTCACACGTCAAGAGGCTTTTCTTATTTTGTTTTTTGTGTTTCCTTTTGAGAGAACTTGGGTCCTTGTTGCTTTGACGAGTGTCGATGTTTTCGGATTCTTCTTTATCATAATCATCATCCCCACCATTATCATCGTCATCATCATCATCATCAGTATCATCATCATAAACACTTTCTGTATAATCATAATCATCGTCATCCCCATCATCATCACCATCATCATCATCACCATCACCATCATCACTATTATCTTTATTTCTTTGCTTTTTTTCCTTTCCTTTCCTTTCTATTATTTTCTGGTTCATTTTCAGATCATCATCACCATCATCATCA